CGACAGGCAGAGTGGGACAGTGAGAGAGAGAGACAGAGAGAGAAAGGTCTTCCTTTGCCGATGGGTCAGTCTGCAATGGCCGCGGCGGCCGGTGCACCGCGCTGATCTGAAGTCAGGAGCCAGGTGCTTCCTCCTGGTCTCCCATGGGGTGCAGGGCCCAAGTACTTGGGCCATCCTCCACTGCACTCCCTGGCCGCAGCAGAGAGCTGGCCTGGAAGAGGGGCAACTGGGACAGAATCCGGCGCCCTGACCGGGACTAGAACCTGGTGTGCCGGCACTGCAGGTGGAGGATTAGCCTATTGAGCCATCGCGCCGGCCAGAAAGTAGATTTTTACATAACTAAATTGTTCTAAGCCTTTGTAAAAGTTTGCCAATGACAGAATCAAGTACCAATTTTTCAAATTTAGACTTAAATTGGTTAAAATTAAAGTTTAATATTCTGTCCCTTGGCCACACTAGCCATATTTTAAGGGCTCAGTAGCCATATACAGGTTGGACAGCACAGGCCTAACCTGGCAAGTTTATCAAGGGTGAAACAGAAGTGTTCACAGTCCCAGGCTCATGAGCCTCCCTGTACCTGTGTTGTGGGAGTATCAGTTGTATGCCCTCCCTCAGTCATTCCTTCCCCGACACAGTGCAACCTCTGTCTCCCACTGAATAGATGCCAAGCTCAGAAGCATTGTCCTTTATTAGAAAAACTGGGGAGTTTTTTTAACTTCAATAAGATTTTTGTGGTCCTTATTTCCTGCCACAGAAAGCTGTGTTTGATGAAATCCCTCCCCACCCCTTTCTTTTTAGTACTATAGAAAATGAAAAGGATTTTCTTTTACTGGCTGTTTAGATGACAGCTCTCTGGTCTGTGAATGAAGCATCCTTTCATTATTTAGCCCATAGTTTCCTTGAGGCTCCTTGCGTTTTCCTAGGGGCTCCTGGAGTTGGCCATGTTGCTTCAAAAGACCTGTAACTTTTCATCTAGGCATGTGCTAAGAAGAAGTGGGAAAATCTATGCAGAAATCTTGCATGAAATCAATGAAAATGCCAACAAGGATGGATTGAACTTCTTTGTTTATCTCCTTTGCTTTTGTACTTTCCAAATTATATTAATGAGCATAGAAAAAAACTATATTTGAATTTTTAAAGTAAGTATGATCCATTTATGAAGCTGCCAGATAAAATATCAACTAGAACAATATAAAGAATTTAGGGAATAAAAACCAGTTAACTTTGTGGCTCAGATATATAGCTTCAATCACACTGATTACTCAGTGAGTACTGTATTAAATACTATAAATTCTATATAATTTTAATTCAAGGATCTCTAGACTAAGAGAGCTGGCAAATTAAGGAGAGAAAAATACACATGCCACCTTTGACATTCTAACACCTTATTAGATTCTGTCTCATAGCTCTACATACAGAAATAGAAGTGTAAATAGATCATTTTATATGGTATTGGTAACTCCTACAGATACTAAATAATAATATAACTTTAAACAATTGAGATGTTAGGGTAAACAGCCATACAAGTAGGGAATTTTGCTAAATTCCTCATTTCAGTGTCTGACTAGATCAAGGAATGGAGGGAGGGATAGGTGTTTGGCCGAGTGGTTAAGACACCACTGGAGACACCTGCATTCCATACCAGAATGCCTGGGTTTGAATCCCAGCTGTGCTTCTGATTCCAGCTTCCTGCCAATGCACGTCCTGAGAGGCAACAGGCAATGGCTCGAGTACTGCAGTCCCTCCCACCCAGTTTGAGTTCCTGGCTTCAGCCTGATGCAGCTGCAGCTATCGTGGGCATTTGGAGAGTGAAACAGCACATGGTTCTTTCTGTCTTTCTCTCTGCCTTTCAAATAAATAAAAATATTTCTTTAAAGGAAGGCAAAAGTATATTAGGATTTTGCTGCTTTGATGGGAAATAGTAGAAGATTAAAGTCGGAAATACTTAAAGAGGCTGGCGTTGTGGTGTAGCAAGTAAAGCTGCTGCCTGTGACACCAGCATCCCATATGGGCCCCCAGTTTGAGTCCCGGGTGCTCTACTTCTGACCCAGCTCTCTGCTAATGAGCCTGGGAAAGCAACAGAGGATGGCCCAAGAGCTTGGGCCCCTGTATCCATGTGGTAGACCTGGAAGAAGTTCCTGGCTCCTGGCTTCAGACTGGCCCAGCTCTAGCTGTTGCAACCATTTTAGAAGTGAACCAGAGGGTGGAAGACTCTCTCTCTCTCTCTCCCTCTCTCCCTCTCTCTCTCACTCCCTCACTCACTCCCTTTATTTGAACATTGACTTTCAAGTAAATAAATCTTAAGAAAAAAATTACTTAAAAACCGAAGGAAGCTACTCTATACAGTTTGAGCTGGGGTTGGAAAAGGATAGTTGTACTTTTCATATTATTCCATTGTAATTTCTTTCATCAGGTGTTCCTGCTTCATTTAGAATTAGGAAATAACTTTAAATTTGCCATATATTATAGTGGGTCTGTATATTAGAGAATAGCCAGGCATATTTTTAGACCACGTAATTGTTTTGTCTATCAATTAATGTTTTATTAAACTTTTGAGTCATAAGAAGTAAGTATATCCCTGCCAGTGAACGAATTTAAGAGAATGTGTCCACACTATAGTCATCATTATAGGCACAAAACAGCATTATAAGAATTAGGAGCAGGGGGTGGAAAAACAAGGCACCAGGGCTATTTCCCAAGCTTTGAAGCTTTGCCAAACCCACTGATCTCTCAGGGGAACTGGATCTGTTACACATGGCATTTGTAGGTCATTACCACTTTGCCTTGATTGCAACAGTGTGTTTACAACACCTTCTGTACTTCTAGCCTGCAGGGATCCCGGTGTTCTGTCACCTGTGAAGATGGACAGTACTTCAACGGCCAGGACTGCCAGCCCTGCCACCGCTTCTGCGCCACCTGTGCCGGTATCGCCTCCCTGGGCCTTTCATTTATTCTCTTGGTTCTGGTTTTGCTTAAGTGTATGCCTTGTTATAGCCGTCACCCACATAGCCCGCTAGATACCTTTACGCTAAATGCTAGAGACCATGTTTCCCTTCTGATTACCTTGCATGCATTCTCACTGAAAGTCACACAGTTGTCAGCTTCCTGTCCTCACGGAGAAATTTAAATATCCCAGTGATATCTCCTTCTCTTTCCAAAGACAGCAGATGTTTTCGGGAAATAGATTCTATTTAAAATGGAGAGGTTTTTTTTTTTTCTCCTCTGAGAAGAACATGAAAAAATATATTAAATCATTACTCTAAGAATTATAACAGATGAATGCCATTTTCACAAGCTAGTAAAGTAAAAGCCTGCCGTACAATGCCTGCTGAGGTTTTTTTCTGTCTCTTGCATTTGTCTTGCTTTGAAGGGGCAGGAGCTGATGGGTGCATTAAATGCACTGAGGGCTACTTCATGGAGGATGGGAGATGCGTGCAGAGCTGTAGTATCAGCTATTATTTTGAGCACTCTTCAGAGAATGGATACAAATCCTGCAAAAAGTAAGTGGATTGGCCCCTTCAGCACCAGCTGTTAGTACCTGGCTCCCTTATGAGTGCCTTCATAAACAATAAGAAGTGTAGAATTTTCAATGATGAAATAAAGCTCTATATTTACATAAAGACACTGCAGCTATAACCCAACTTATTTTTGATACTTTCATTTATTTCTTCATTTAGCCTCAGGAGTACCTTAAAAAATGATACTTTATGTCCCACATATGTGCTGTGTCCCACTTAAAATTAGTGTCTACCTGCTAGGATTTTTTTTAATGTCATCAAACTTAGCAGTTATTGTACAAAAAGGTTTTTATGTCTTCAAAATGAGAGTTAAATTTAAGACCTTAAGTGGTTGATAGTAAACACACCCTCTGTTGGGAATGATGTGTGAAAGGATAAAACATTGTACCTTTTCCCCTAGATGTGATACCAGTTGTTTGACATGCAATGGTCCAGGGTTCAAGAACTGTACAAGCTGTCCCAGTGGGTATCTCTTAGACTTAGGAACATGTCAAATGGGAGCGATCTGCAAGGATGGTGAGTACAGCTGCTCATTTGATCTCTGAGCCAAGTGTGATTTTTCCACGTTAAAGGTCTAATATACTTAGAAGTTTAAAAAACAGCTAAGAAACATGCATCATTTAGGACATAAGCAATATCTTCCTGACATTCATTCATTTGTGCCCCCAGTTTTGTTTAATTGCAAGAAGAAACAAGTCACCTGGCCAATATGGTTCCAGTTAATTTTTGCTTCACGAATGAACTGTTTTTAGAAAAGATTTGGGTTCAAGCAAAATTGAGGCGAATGTAGAGATTTCACATGTACCCCTGCCAGCACACATGCATAGCTCCCCTACCCTCCCACCCCTTCCTGCAGCAGCGTGGAACTTGTTGCAATCAATGAACCTAGATTGACACATCATTAACACTCAAAGTCCATAGTTTCTATTAGGGTCCCACAGTTTGGACAAGTGGATAGTGATGTGTATTGAAGTATATCCACCGTTACAGTATCATGCAGCAGCATAGGGAAAATACGTCGATGGAGAAAGACATTGTTTTGAACTGTTGTTCAAAATGTCTTTCAGTAATTAGAAAATAGGCAAGTAGAAAAGTCTCAGCTGGCAAGGCCACTGCCCTGCATTTATTCTTCCTTCTTTGCAATGTTTCCTCTTCTGGAAATTTCACAAGAGACAGAACAGTACTATGGCAGGGAGACTGTGGACTTGGGAATCAGAATGCTGTAGTTCATGTCTGGGCTCAGACTTGGGGCAAGTTAGAATTTTCTGGGCCTAATTGTCCTCGTCTGTACAAAATGGAGAACACAATACTACTGATCTTGTATGGCTGTTCCACAGCTCCCTAGTAGGGATCTCAAAAAGGCATCAGAAAGAACGGGGCACATGATGGCACCAGTAGAACCTCACTGTGGTCCTTGGAGCATTATAGGTGACTATGCATATTCGTGGCTTTTCTGATATGTGATTGGCCTGGTAGGGATAGGCCAGACCCACTCTGGCTCTGTGTTACAATTTTGGAAAGGGCTAGCTCTAACTGTACCACACTGGGGTAAGAGGCCCTGGGTGATGGCTCTCCAGGGACATATCCATGTAAGTATTCTTTTTAGTTAATAGCAAGTGCCCCCTTCTCTTTACTTTAAAACATGATTCCCTGACATCTGAGTATAACCAGAAATAATAACAACCAGAAAACTGAGAAATATTCTTACGTGATTAACATAGGAAATCCTTGGTGCCTTGAAGTTTTCACCTGTAGCATAAATTACCAGGCATTTCAAAACGTGTGATGTCTTAACTATTTCCCCCCAGTCCACAGTGAGCATGGAATAAGTTATGTCAGCAAAGTGGAGGGGCCAGATTGTGGGCAAAATTGGAAAATGAAGAAGCCGTGATTTGCAATGAACCCATTTTCAGTTCAGTTTAAAAATGAGATCACTGATGGCTCACCAGGCATTGCAAATCACATGGCAACTGCATCTGAGGATGCACTGTTTATTCTCTTTCACTGATCATATTTCCATGATTCTAAGACATAACTTTTTTTACATTTAAACATGTCTGAAATAAGATGCATCTTATAATTCATGGCAGCTTATAATGGCCATAGGCTGATCTAATATAAGTGCCTGGATATGAGATAGGTGGCAGGGATGTGTATTAAACTCGGTTAGACACATGGTTACTACTTCTTGTATTGAAATTAATCACAGTTCAAAAGAGCTTTGAAAAATTAACTGTTGTTCAATATTCAAAGGAAGGCTTCTTGCATAAGCACAGAAGCAAAACAGAATGTCCTGAGTATAATAAATACCTTTAATAAATATACAATTAAAGTTCTAATTGATAAGAGACTACCATGCCACTGTTTAATAAGAAGTAATTTTTCTTTGTGTTACTTACAACAATGGTGCATCTTAAATCCTATGTCTTAGATTCAATGAAATATAGAATGATGAAATATTTTAATGAAATATAGTGTAATGACACAATGTAAATGACTGTATACCCTCTACTTTAGGTCATTCTAAGAAGAAAAAAATCCTTACTTATGTTATTATTGATTTCTAATTTATTCTTTCTCTAATCTTTTTTTTTCCTTTCATAAATGGATACCAATCACATTTACCATTGGACTGCAATATATCTCCTTGAAAACCAATGCTATTGACTGAAATCACTTTGGGTGGACCAAATTTCCTCCTTGTTGACTGCTCCTGAATGATCTCTTCCAATCCCCAACCTGCCTCTCTGACCAATCACAACCTTCTTCCGTGTGTGCCCATCAATGCTGCTCTCGTCCTCAACTCCCCCTGTCTCTTGCTGACTTCCTGGAAAAGCAACGGAAGAGTCCTGGGCGGAAGGAGGCTTCTGTATGCTTGTGAAAAAGAACAATCTGTGCCAACGGAAGGTTCTTCAACAACTTTGCTGCAAAACATGTACATTCCAAGGCTGAGCAGCCACCTTAGAATTCTTTGTTGCTGTAGACTTATAGAGTATTCCATATTATTAAAAAGAAAAAAAAAGCCAGAAAAAAAAGCAAGCCACCTCTCTCTTTCTTGCCCTCTTTTTTTTTCTCCCTCTCCCTCTCCCTCCTTCTCTCTCTCTCTCTCTCTCTCTCTCTCTCCCCTTCTCTCTTTCTCTCTCTCCCTCCTTCCCTCTCTCTCTCTCTCTCCTTCTCTCTCTCTCTCTCAAGTTTGTGCAGGGAGATGTTGAACTGTTTTGTCAGAACTTAAATGGAAAAAAGAAAAATAAACCTACAACAAGCCTACCTTTTTATAACTGGGTGTTTAGTGCTAAACAGCCAGAACCACAGAGACAGCATTGTATGACCAAAGTATTTGATGCCAAAATTTGACGTTAAAGTAATGATTTGATTTCCTGCCCTGGGTTTCAAGGTCCGTTTTCTTCCTTTTGCATTTACCTGCTTGTTTCCCCCTTTGAGATGCCTAAAAATACCTTTCCAGAACCTCACAAGAGCATACATAGATCAAAATGCAACAGACGGCTCTTGCAACGGTCATTTTTCTTGCTCGAGCCAACTGTTGGAGAAAATGACAGGAAACTGGACCTGAGGGCCTAACAGCATCCTAGAGAGTCGTGTCCAGTGTCGTTTGTCTTTGTTCTTCACCACTAAGCATCAATACTTTCCAAACATATTTTCCTTCCTGCATTATGTACTGGTTTTTACATATTACTCACTTGATAAGTCTGCTCCACTGGTTGTATCAGATGGACATGCTGCTACTGCCTTTGCCATTGTAGATTGGGTTATGTTACACACAGCTGGCAAACGGGATTGCTCTGTAGAGTCAGACTGATGATGGGTAGAATGCAGAGGTACGTGAATGAACAGAGACTGATCCAGCTCCCTGGAAACCAGAGGGCTAACTTAGTAGACCCTGCACAATCTCTTGGTGCTATCTAGCCATAATCCCCATAGCATTTTTTTAAAGGCCATCAGAAATTCCATTTGTTATGGTGGGGAGCATTTTGGATATGATGCAGGAAATTTCTTCCTGGAATCAAAAGTTTCTAAGAAGTCCTGTATTTTTTAAGAAATGGAATTTATTTAAATAATATTTAAGCTCAGGCCCATGTTGGCTGAGCAGTGTTTCTCAATGGTGCTTATTAGAAATTTTTTCATCTTGTCATTTTAAGAAAATAAAACTGGAAATTAAATACAGATGGCATGATTGTACCCTCCTGGTTCTGTATTTCCCCGCTCCTCTGTCCCTCTATTACCATACCATTCTCTCACACACCTATCCACTGAATGTTAAGTTTGTCTGTTTTGTTTGTTGTGTTTAGAAATATCTTCACTGGTTTTCTCTGAATCTCTAAATGTTTTATGGAAATTAGCAGACTGAATTGTGAGAAAACTGTTTCGGATCAGTAGGCAGTAATAAGAAAGCCTGATAATATCTTTTTGCAGTTTCTCTGTTTAGGGAAGGGTAGACTTATACCAAATTTCTTCATTTTCCACATCAAAGCTCCAATGGTGACCTCATTTGCTTTGGGAGCAACCAGCCATCTTGCAGGCTTTACACTGAGAACCTCACATCCAGGATGTTGCTGGCGTCACACCTGAGAAGAGGAATGGTGTCAATCTAGGTTCTCCTGGACAGGAGCTGGGAAGTGGATGCTAAGGCCTCCATCCAAGCAGCAAGCTAGAAAAAAGTCTGCCTCAAAAATAGTCTTAGACATCAAAGTTAACTTCCAACCCAAGGTGAATAATAAATAAATAGTCTAATGACCCTCTTAATAGCATCGCAATGATATTGAGTCACACAATGATTCATAAATAACTGGGGAACCAACTGATTTGGGTGAGTAGTTTTCCTCTTTATAACACCACAGGCCCTTCTGACATGAAGAACCAAAGTTACCCTGGGTAAGGCATAAAGTTTTACAGTGAAATGAACAAATGTAAGTGCAAGCCTAAGCAAGCTCAAGCAGATGGCAAAACCAGATTTGCCTGCAAAGGGATCCATTGAAGTGAATAAGCCCATACCATAAGAGGTACAAGGATACTGTGAGGAAAGATAAAAATGATGCCTGTATTCTTAGACAACTAACACCAACATGACAACCAAATCCACTAGGGTCCACTAGTGTGCATCCCATTTCTCACTGGCCATGCAGGTGCACATCATGGAAATACTGGTTTCACTACTAGTGTGTTACTGCCTCGTTTATCTACATAACATTATTAACTAGAACATAATGCTTTCAAAGTTTAAGTTAATGTTATATATTATGTATAAATATATATATTCATAATGAGATATATGTAATGGATAGTACAAAGTTTGGAGACTTAACAAATGCTCTAGCCTTCTAGAGACAAAAGTCCTATCTTTTGTTTTCTTTTGTCTTTTGATTTTTAATTAGTGACCCATTGTTAAATCCAAATCCACTTTTACTGAAAAATACTGTACATGTGTAAAATGTTCAGTTGTTTTTTTGTAAAATATAGTAGAACGGTTGTAATTGATACTGGCCAAAATCAATGTTATT